CTGCAGTCGGTTTTAATTATGGCCGTACCCAATACAGTAATCAACATAATTTATATATATAGTGCTTCTTCACTAGCTTCTTATCTCCTAATACCTTTGTCCTTTTAATTCCACATATAAACAGGGAGAGAGGGAAGGCCTAATAATGGGGAAAAACTGCCAAGGGCGTGTAGGCTTTCTAATCATGCAGGATTCTAGTGTCTAAGTATCCTTCTGCAAACTTTTGGGTGGTAGGCATAGAAATTAGTTTTCCTTTCAAATGATAAAAAAATCAGAATGACTCAGGTCATTGGGTACAGCCTCCTATATCTTCTTGCAATACTGATCATGGGATAAAATAATAGCCATTAATAGGAAGCCTTCGTAAGCTTTTTCAGGAATTCCCAGCAACTCTCACTGAAAATAATCCATACCAAAATCACTATTAGGGCTTTGCAGCATGTCAAATTCAGTTCTGAAAAATTGTTTCAGATTTGTGGGAGCATGAGCGTTAGCATGCAGCTCTTTAAAGCAGCTATGTCTTTCCCCAGGAGGATCCATTTAATGGATTGGTTTTTTTCCTAGGATTTTTTTTTCTTTTCCTTTTGCTCTGCTTTGGATGTGAGGTAATTTTCCTTGGATGGAGAGAAGCAACTTCCATCTCTGCCCAGATGGAAATGATTTCATATCAGAGTGGTGAAGATCTCCCCAAAATTCGCAAGCTGTATGCTGACTTTGGGGTGGGTTTTTAAGGGTAGTACTGTGAGTGAGAGGCCTCAAGGAGACAGGCCTTCCTGTTATTAAAAATTCCTCAGCCCAACCCTCAAAAGTAATGGGATATTGAATCAACACTCATTACTAAGAACACTTCTGCATATCTTCAGGCACAAAGATGGCATCAACCACACGTTCTTCTGAGCTGTCCCCATACCATTCCTGGAACATATGCTAATCTCCCCTTTTATCAGCGGAAGCTCATTCTGATCCCATCACCAGCTGTGCTTTTCCTATTAAGTGATTACCTGTAATCCAGAAGATGTCAGGTCTAACAAGATTGCTCCATTTCCTACATTGGCTTATGAAATTAGAATAGAATAGAGCTGGAAGGGACCTTGGCGGTCTTCTAGTCCAGCCCCCTGCTCAAGCAGGAGAACCTATACCATCTCAGACAAGTGACTGTCCAGCCTCTTCACAAAAACCTCCAGTGATGAAGCGCCCACAACATCTGAAGGCAAGCCGTTCCACTGGTTGATTGTCCTCACTGTCAGGAAGTTTCTCCTTAATGCTAGGTTGCTTCTCTCTTTGATCAGTTTCCAACCATTGTGTCTTGTCCTGCCCTCTGATGCTTTGGAGAAGTCTGACATTTCTCCTTTTCCTCTACGTCTCTTGCATCTATTTTTAATCAACTCCTATTTTCTTTATTGACTTTTGGGTATAGCAGTAGTCCTTGACTTACGACTCCAATTCAGATCAGAATTTCCATTGTTAAGCAAAGCCATTATTAAGTCATTTGTACCCGATTTTATAACCTTTTTTTTGCCACTGTTGTTAAGCAAATCACTCTAAAGTCATGTGGACATTAAGCAACTCCAGCTTCCTTCAATGACTTTTCTTATCAGAAATTGGTTGGGAAGCTGGCAAATGGTCACATGACCTTGGGACACTGCATCCACTATAAGCACGTGCCAAGGGCCAAGCACCTGAATTCTGAATATGTGATTGTGGGGAGGCTGAGATAGTTGTTAAGTGTGAGTACTGACTGTAAGTCATTTTTTCCCCAGGGATGTTGTAACTTCAAACAGTTGCTAAATGAATGGTTGTAAGTCCAGGACTAGGTCAGGGGTAGGCAACCTTGGCTCTTTTATGACTGAGCCAGCCATGCTGAGGGAAGGGGAGAGGTTTCCAAACTGAGCCATGCTGGCTCAGGAATTCTGAGAGTTGAAGTCCACGAGTCATAAAAGAGCCAAGGTTGCCTACCCCTGGTCTACGTTGTACAGGTATTTCTTGACTTACAATTAGTGGCCATTCGAAGTTACAACGTAACTGAAAAAAGTGACTTATGACCGTTTTCCACACTTGCAACCATTGCAGCATCCCCATGGTCATGTGATCAAAACTCAGACATTTGGCAACTGACTCACATTTATGAAGATTGCAATGTCCAGGGGGTCATGTGATCGCCTTTTGCAACCTTCTGACAAGCAAAGCCAATGGGGAAACCAGATTCACTTAACAGCCGTGTTACCAATTTAACAACTGCAGTGTTGCAAAAAAGGCCATAAAATTCACTTCATAGCTGTCTCACTTAGCAACAGAAATTTTGGATTCAAATTGTGGTCATAAGTCGAGGACTACCTGTAATATTATTGCTCCTTTCATCTATGAATGTTGATTAATAGATTCATTATTTAAAAGTATTCTGAATAGAGCACCTCCCTACTACATGTAGTTTATTTATTGCTTAGATTTACTGTATCTATCCCCCAGATGCTCAGGAATGATGTGTGTTACACTCTCTCCTTTAATTCCCACAACCAGCTTGCAAGCTTTCGTTACCAACAGTAGATGAACTTCAAGTTGGATCTTAATGGATCCACGCCATAACATAACATAACATAACATAACATAACACGCCATAACATCCACGCTTAGGGAGTGTTTGCATTTAAAGCGGTATATAAGTCTCATAAATAAATAAATAAACCACTACATCTACCTCTGTAGTTTGGATTTTCTCACAAGGATTTTGGATATTGTCCCCAGATACCAAATTCCATGGCGGAAAAAAAAACTGGCCGTGGGTGATTCACAGCTGGGTGATTTCTGTAATCAGCTAGACATAAGTATAAAAAGTAAAGTGTCCATTCATTAGGCTATGATTCAAATGTGGAAAGGCAGTTGGAAGACTTCCAATGATTTCCAGAAAGCCAAAGACATTTGAATTAAGTCTTTTTCATTCCAGGAGAAATTACATGCACATTATACTGAGATTAGTTGTCTGTGGTGGACAGTATCTATCAGTCTGCAGAAAAACACAGGATAAAATGTCATGGTGTGTGAATGATTCCACCCACTCAACAATAACAGGGGAGGATCAACACACCCCTTCATTTATTGCTCAATCAGAGAACAACTTATTTACAAACAAGCCTCAGGTAGTCAGGAACATGTGTAAATGTCTGAACTCAAAACATACTTCTCAAACATGTACCTTGCTTCTCTTGCACAGGCACCCAGACATAGTGCTAATTTTATGGGAAAAGAAACTACACATGCAACCTATGCATATTTATTCAATTTATTGCTACATAAAAGAAGTCCATAAAACAAAAGAAGTCCATAAAATGGTTGTAGAGGGAAGAATGTTTTTTTTGGGGGGGGGGCTATGATGCAATAAGGAACAGTTTTGGGACATCTTGAAACTGCTGTGGAATGGATGAAAGTGACTATGTGTTAAAGTCAGGAATCATAATCTTTTACTAATCTTGAAAGTGTGGAGAAAGTTTCATTGTTGTTTTCCTTGTAAATAAAACAGTTAAGAATAAGCAGAAAGATTCTCCCCCCAATATAATGCCAAAGGGGGCCTCCCCACTGCCCACCGCCAAAGGTTTAACTCTTGATTTTAGTCTTTCTGAATCTGAACTTTAAGATCTGTGAACTTCAGCTCCCAGAATTCCCCAACCAGCCATGCTTCCTGGGGAATTCTGGGAATTGAAGTCTATATATTTTCAAGTTCCCAGGGTTGAGAAAACACTGCACTAGATTATAGTTTTAGTGACCAAGAGGAAAAATAATAAATATAAGAAATAAATTTTATTATCCATAGTTTAATAAAGATAAATTAAATCCATTTTAGTTTTTGACCCATATCCCAAAACAAAATCACTCTTAAAAGGCACCCAAAGTTCCTACTTGAAAGAATTTCAAGTGAAATATTATCTGGACCTTTGGGAACATCCTCAGATGAACATCAGTTGGGCAATTATGTATTATACAGCTGCATCTTCCATATTTATTTTTGCAGAAATTAAGAGCTCCAGATAACTCCAAAATTTGCTCACGCTACTGTAACCTTCTGATCAGTGCTAATAAAGGCTCTGCCCATCTGGGTGGCAAGAGTCAAACTTTCTTGTAAGATTGAGGTTTGAAGTAGCAGTGTTCCAACATGTTAAGGGGCTTCCACAAAGAAGAGGAGGGTCAACCTATCCTCCAAAACACCTGAAGGCAGAACAAGAGGCAACAGATGGAAACTAGTCAAGGAGAGAAACAACCTAAATAGAACTAAGGAGGAATTTCCTGTCAGTTAGAACAATTAATCAATGGAACAACTTGCCTCCAGAAGTTGTGGGTGCTCCAACACTGAAAGTTTTTAAGAGATTGGACAGCCATTTTTCCAAAATGATATAAGGTCTCCTGCTTGAGAAGGCGGATGGACTAGAAGACCTCCAAATCCCTTCCAAAACTCTTGTTATTCTGTTAACATTTGGATGGAGACCACCAAGAAATCTAATTATGAAATGATCTGGGAAACGGTGGGGTGGTGGGGATGGAAAAAGGAGAACAAACTGGAAGAAACCCGGGGCAAGTTGCTCAGGAGCCCTTGCCAAGAAAATTCCTTGTTCGGAAAATCACCCAGAGTTGGACTCAACCCAAAAAAGAGTTTACCTTGAATAACCACATTGGTCAACCTACTACTAACCACAATAATAACAGGATCACGTCGGTGCTCTGCATCTTAGAGTCATCTTCCTTTGCTTTTTTTTTAAAAAAAATCTGCTTTGGGGGGGGTCCTAAAAATACCGAGACTGGGCAGGTGAGCGAGGCCAAGTTTCCATTTCCAGGATTGCGCAATCAACAACCGTGGCCAAAGCAACAACCCTCTTCCCCCTCGCGCGCTCTCGCTGGCTCGCTCGGTCCCAAGAAGCGGCCATAAACAAAGCCACGTGTCCTGCCTCCCTCCCTTCTCCGAGCGCGGGGCGGAGTTTGCGCGCTTCTTCCGGCAACAAAGAGCCACCAGCTGGCCCGGATAAATAACAGAGGCGGCCGGAGCCCGGGCAGAGAAGTGATCGAGGAGCTTGATCGTCCAGGGGTGGAGGGAAAACGTCGTCCTAAACACAAAAACCGCCTTGTTTAGGCGGCGTCTCCGGGTTTCCTTTTGGCTACCGAGCATCGCCAGAGCTTCTGCTTTGGAGGCAGCCCAAGGCGCGCTCTCTTGCGCCTTTTTTTTTTAAAAAAAAAATATTTTATTTTATTTTTCCGGCGTCCTCCTCCTCTTTCGGTTGTGCCCGCCATGCCTTTTCTCGGCCAGGACTGGCGATCGCCGGGCCAGAACTGGGTGAAGACGGCGGATGGCTGGACCAGGTTCCTGGACGGGAAGGAGCACGGCGGCGGCTGCGACAACGAGAGGAACAGGTGAGACTTTGGCCGGAGGTTTGCGAGAGGTCCAGAGGCGTAAAGGAAACTTCGGTCCGGAGTGGGAGCTGTGGAGGATGGGGGACTCTCGGGGCAGGAACAACCGGGCAAAGGGAGAAAGGGGAGAAGCGGATCTTGGATCGGAGGCCTATTTCATACATTTCATATATATACCGTGGTACGGTACAATGATCTCCAGGTACAGTGATTTTGTAATGTTCTTAAGCTCTAACTCAGTCTGTATTGCTGGTCTGTATTGCTGAGAACAAGTCAACATTTGGACGTGCACACACACACACACACACACACACACACACACACACACACACACACACGAGAAACTGTACCCCCAGGAACAGTGTGGGATGCTTTGTCCCAAGTGCACCGTCTGTTTTGTGCCAGGTTGCAATGCCTTTGTTTTTGTTCCTGGCCTGTGGCGTCATCGCGGGCAGGAGCTCTTGCAAGCTGAATTTAGCGAACAATCAGTAGGGGAAGGGCAAACCAACCAGCCCTGCTGCTCTCCACACAGAACAGCTGTTGGCTTCATCCTAATCGATAACATTTTATCTTTGGCTTCAAGATGCCAGTCCAAACTGGCCTCCCCTTAATTTGGTATAGGTTGTCCAGATCTTTGGGGACTAAAATAACAACCATGATTGGTGTGGTTTTTTTTTTTTTTTTAATGGATTGGAAATTGTGAGAACTGTAACCTCAGCTCTCTCCGCAGCTGGTTCAGGAGAGGATGCTCTAAAATATTTAAGGTGATGCTAGTCTCTAGTAGCTGAATTTCCAGGTACAATGATTTGTAATGCTCCTAAGTCTATATTGCTGGTTTACTTATGTATCCTTTGAGAATAAGTCAACATTTGGAGAACGAGAGCAGTAATGAAGTAATAAAAGAAATAATGGGATGGTCAGAATATGTGAAGTTTAGGGGTGTCTCTAGGACTTCTTCGTAGACTGGGAAACATTATGCATCTAATTGTAAGTTTTCATGGACTTCAATCATTGTCATCAATTCCAGTGTTTCTCTGTATTTTCTGAGCTTTAGATACCCTTGACCATGTGTCTGTTTAACTAACCATGCCATTATTTTAAATTGGAAAGGTCCATTCATGAAAGTATGGTGCCCACTATATGCTGTCAAATATCAGATATGCCCATCAGGTAAAAGAAGTTAGATGTGTCCTCCTTCCGGTCACCTCCTATCCCCTTCCATTGCTCTTATGACACCTGCCTAAAATGTAATGTTTCATGTAAATCTGATCTTCCTGATTGATGGTCTGAAGTCTAAGACCCAATACCAGCAAGAAAAACATGGACTGAGCCATCTCTATTGCATGACAGTGCTATCACAAGGAATGTGAGTTTGGTGTTCCACTCATAGGTCCCCAGGAAGATAGTGTGCTGTGAAGACATGTGCATGTTCTCTTTGTTGTTATAAGTGAGCTCCACCCCTTAAACATATGAGTCTCTCCCTCGCGGAAGGGCAGCCTGCCAGCATGCTTGAGAGGTGTCATCTTCAGCTACAACTCCCATAACTAACTGAAGGTACTAGGAATTGTAGTCCAAGACTCCCTAAAAAGGGATCAGATAGTTGGAAAGGTTGTAGATACAGTAGTGTATTGGATAGTTCAGCTCAGGAAACATGCATGTTGTTTAACTGATGAGGATCTCCCAAAGACTGAGTTCCCAAAATGAGGGTTAGAAAATGAGGAATTATCCATGTGGTTTAAAGACGAGGCATTGGTTAGTTCCATTGGTAAGACAGTTGATATAATAGATGACAGAAATAATCTTGGAGGAAGAACAGTCACAACCCAAAGATGCTTTTTCAAAAGGCAACTGGACTGTTTTCCCTTGAAGACGTTTCGCTTCTCATCCAAGAAGCTTCTTCAGTTCACTTCTCTTCAGTTCACTTCTTAGATGAGAAGTAAAATGTCTTCAAGGGAAAACAAAGTCCAGTTGCCTTTGGAAAAAGCACATTTGGGACAACCCTGATCTGGATAACTGAGAATCTCCATAGACAAGAGCTGCAACAAAAACAACAGTCAGATAAAAGAAATTTGAGTCTGGGGCAGAAATGTAAGTTGAGAAAGATAAAGGGAGACAGGAGGAAATTACAGACCTGCAAGGTGCTACTTTATAATAAAAATAGCATTAGCATGCATAACTTTGGTGTCTACTTTGGTGTCTACTTTAAAGGGCTGACAGAAAATCAGCAGAACTACAAATCTCATCCTCCACATTTAGGTCTCATCTAACTGTGGATGATGCTGGTTGTAGGCTGATAAATCCCGGGCAGTTGTACCCTAGACAAGGCTGTAGAGCAGTGTTTCTCAACCTTGGCCCCTTTAAGACATGAGGACTTCAACTCCCAGAATTCCCCAGCCAGTATGACTGGGGAATTCTGGGAGTCATAGTCCACACATCATAAAGTGGCTGGGGTTGAGAAACACTGTATGTAGAGCGCAAATAACAACAATGTACCTATAACCAGTTTGGTCAAAGTATTTTGGATTTAAACAGATGTTGGGCCAAATCCTCACTTAGCTTTTCACTAAATCTTTCTGAACAGGGTACAGTTTGTTTCAGAGTTAGCCGCATAAAATTGTACTGCCAAGACTTAGCTTACATCTTTGAAAAGTTCAGTAAATGTGATGACATTGACTTCTTACACAATAAATAAGTTGTCTGCAAAACACAGAAACCAGGCTGCAGATTGAAACTTTACTGTGGTCAGTTTTTCAAGGCTTCGTTTCTGCATCTCCTGTTCTTATTTTCCAGGAAAATGCCAGTTTAAATAAACTCCGGGTTAGTTTTGCATCATAATCAGTGAGTGGTTATTGTGGTGAAATATCCATCTGTAAAAAAAAAAAGAGACAGAACGTCCCCAATAGTTGAATTTTTGCTTAGCTGCATTATCTGTTCAGTTACAAGCAATTGATACTGACAGTTAAGTGGTTTCAGGGCTCCCTTATTGAAAAGTTGAACTAAACAAAATGGCCTGAATCTATTTTTAAACTCTTGAGAGCTCTGTTGTTTTAATATGTTTAGTTAACAAAAGTCGCTATGGGTATTATGGCAGGTCATTCTGGTTTGTTTTCCTTGGCATGTGATCCAGGGTTGGCCAATTAAACAGTAATCTCTATTTGCGTATTAAACACTCCTCTGCATAAAGACAATAAAATTATTAAGCACTGACCAATCTAGCTTCAGAATATTTTGTGTCCTGCAGTGAGCATTGCATCACAAAGAACGATTTTGCATCAATGTTTATTGGTCCAATAAAATGAAAACCAGAAGAAAACAAAGCTTTCGTAGAGGACTAGTTACTTTCTCCAGAGTTTTTCTGTTCGTTTTGCTTTGATGCAGAGCTCCTCAGAACAAAATGAAAAATGAGATGGAAATTACTTTGTATGGGACTAGATTACCTAGTGCAATCGACAAAGTTCTTTTGAGGAATTAGCCCCAAACATTTTTGTTTGGAATGGTAAGTTTATAACGGTTGCATTGTTTTACTACCACTTCAGAGGAAGCAGAATGTTTTCAGACTGAAACAGCAACATTCATTGTTTTTGAGGTTAGGGCTTGTGGCTGGGTATAACAGACCCTGAGAACATTTTTTTGATAGTTTATAGAAAAGTTCTCATCTATTAAATCAGCATTTAGTCAATATAGTTTTGAACATTTGCATTATTGTTAGCCCATTTACATCAAATAAATTAGATCAAATTTTGGGATTACAATTTGCACTTTGCACTTTTATTAAGCACTTCAGTTTGCTGCTTCTGCTGGTTAAACCAGTATTGCAAAAAATGGATAACTGATCTGATCTCATGGGAAACACTTTTGTGTGATTAACCCAGCTAGTGTTGGTTTATATGAGCAATCCTACCATGGAATTCTGTATGAAATTATCTTGTACATTCGAGCTGTGTCAGAGTCTCCAAGTCCCTTCCTACTTTATTATTTATTATTATTAAGTGGCTGTCCAGTCTCTTATTAAAAGCCTCCAGTGATGGAGCACCCACAACTTCTGAAGGCAAGCTGTTCCACTGGTTAATTGTTCTCACTGTTAGGAAATCTCTCCTTAGTTCTAGTTGCTTCTGTACTTGATTAGTTTCCATCCGTTGCATCTTGTTCTGCCTTCAGGTTCTTTGGAAAATAGGTTGAACCCCCCCCCCCTTCTTTGTGGCATCCCCTCAAATATTGGAACCCTGCTCTCATGTCACCCCTACTCCTTCTTTTTACTAAACTAGACATACCCAATTCCTGCGACTGTTCTTCATATGTTTTAACCTCCAGGCCCCTAATCAACTTAGCTGCTCTTTTCTTCACTCTTTCCAAAATCTCAACATCTGTTTTGTAATATGGTGACCAAAACTGGATGCAGTATTCTAAGTGTGGTCTTTCATTACTTGCTTGCTCAGGGAATTCAGAAAATTGGCAATAGTACAATATTGGAGTCCCTGTCTGAATGTCTTCATTATCAGGTCCCCAGTAATACTGACTTCTGACTTCACCTACAGTTCCTGAAATTCATCAGTGCTAGTGACATTTCATAATGGTCTTTTTAAGATGTTCCAGAGCCCATCACATGATGTTGAGCAATACAGTACTGTTGAATCATCTGAGCAGGTGATATTTCAATGTCCTGGTAACATGGCCCAGTAAACAAAGATACAGTTTCACATGAAAACAAGGAGTAAATTGGTTCTTGGGGGGAAGTGTGATGCCTCCTTAGATAACATTTAGACCAGGGGTAGGCAACCTTGGCTCTTGGCTCAGGAATTCTGGGAGTTGAAGTCCACAAGTCATAAAAGAGCCGAGGTTGCCTATCCCTGATTTAGACCAATGTTTCTCAATCTTGGGAACTTTAAGATGGGTGGACTTCAACTTCCAGAATCCCCCAGTCAGCATGGTTGACTAGGGAATTCTGGGAGTTGAAATCCACACATGTTAAAGTTTTCAAAGTTGAGAAACACTGATTTAAACGA